CAGGCTTCCTCCTCCCCACTTCAGCATCCTTTACTTTTGTTTTTCAGTTGTTGCAGACGTTCTTTCAGAATTTCTGGAAGTGGCCGTTCACCTTATCTTATATGTCAGAGAAGTTTACCCCATTGGTATCTTTCAGAAGAGGAAAAAATACAATGTGCCTGTCCAGGTAGGAGATCTTTTGGAAGCTGAGAGCCACAGGGGAAAGCAAAATACCAGGGATCAGTCAGCACCCACCGGAACAAAGTAAATCACTTCCAGAGTTTGTTTGACTGTGCAAACTCGTTTTTGATGAGAACTTAGTTCCTGTCAGAAGGGAAGACCAGCCTTTAGCGAGGATAGAGAACTCATGGAACGAGCAGACCATGGATACCACCAGTAGGCAGCTTCCCCAGCTGTGTGCAGTAAAGTAACACGAAGGCATTGCTTCCTAGGAAGGAGGGATGGTTGGAATATATTGTTCCCAATACACTACTATGGGTGTGTCTTCCCAGTATATTACAACTGCGTGGATATAGGGATCTGCCTCAGCTAACTAACGCTTCCATGAAAGAATTGCCAGTTTGAATTGGCAACTTGCTGAAAAACTGTTTGCAGCGTGCCTGCAGTGCCCTGTAACACACGTGCTTCTGTCTAAATCTTCCCGTTTAGCGTTGTCCTGGTGGACATCAGAACACGGCTCTGACTATTCCCTGTGTTTGCTACAGATGTCCTGCCACCCGGAGCTGAATCAGTACATCCAGGACACGCTGCACTGTGTCAAGCCGCTGCTGGAGAAGGTAAGATCCCATCAGGGACCCGGCCAAAAGTACCGGAAGTGGTTTTGATAGGAAGTAAGAGAACACAAATACTGTCTTCAGTGCAAAATCTATTTAAAAATGTACTGTATACAGTGTGCCAGCTGATGCACTTACTAACAGAAATAAAACCAACATCCACGGCCTTAACTGCAAGGAAAGGTTCTGCCTTGCTGCCGGCCACTGGCATGTAGTTGCATCCGATACGTGAGGATATAGGTCTGTATTTTCACTCACCTCACAGAATCATGGAATGGTTTGGGTTGGAAGGGACCTTAAAGCCCATCCAGTTCCAACCCCCCTGCCATGGGCAGGGACACCTTCCACTAGACCAGGTTGCTCCAAGCCTCATCCAGCCTGGCCTTGGACACTTCCAGGGATGGGGCATCCACAGCTTCTCTGGGCAACCTGTCCCAGTGCCTCCCCACCCTCTCCTCATCCTGCCTGTTACATGTATTCAGCAGCAGAACGTTAAGTTTAAGCCCCGATCTGGTTTGTTGTAAGGCAGCAAAGGTAGGTTTGGTAAGAGAAAGGTGTGACCGTATGGAATATTTTGGGATGTAGGATGCTGGCAGATTTTATGTTCTCTGCACTTTACGGAAAACCTCGATGCGCGTGTAGAGGCAGGAAATAGGTCAGTTGTACACTGCGGCAGCACAGAGCTGCTGGCTTTGGCCAACGGTCTGAGCGTATCAACTTCCTCATCACTGTCCACTTCCGAGTGATGCAACGAGATGGCTGTACGTTTCCTCCTTCGTTCCCAAACGGTGGCTAGAGAAACGTACTGTTTGGTGCACTTCACCTGCCTCGGCCTTAGCGCTAGGCTGTCCGCAGGAAACTGCTCTGCAAAAGCGTTTTCTTCTGATCGGGAAGGGTGGTCTGACAGCGCGCGGTTGAGTAACTCCTACTGCTGAGAGCCACAGCAACTAAGCACAGCCCCGCTTTATCAGAAAGCTCAACAGCCTGCAGGAAACGGCTCTGCAAAAGCGTCGGGAAGGGTGGTCTGACAGCGTGCGGTTGGGTAACTCCTGCTGTCAGCCACAGCAGCTAAGCACAGCCCCGCTTTATCAGACGGATGTGAAGCATGCTGGGGGCGGGGCAGAAGCCAGCTTGTTTTAAGGAAGGGATTTTTCCATCTTTGTTCTTGCAGAATGACGTGGAGAAAGTTGTAGTGGTAATCCTGGATAAAGAGCACCACCCCGTGGAGAGATTTGTCTTCGAGATCACCCAGCCACCTCTCCTGTCCATTAGGTAACGTTCTGTCACTGCTGGCCCGTGGCATCCACACCTGGTTCTGCAGAGGCCTTCTGGAAGCAGCTCCAGGCCCCAGCACTCTGCTGCATGCCCATAACCCCCGCTATCCCCTCCACAGCTCAGAGTCCCTGCTGTCCCACGTGGAGCAGTTACTGCGTGCCTTCATCCTGAAAATCAGCGTGTGCGATGCTGTGCTTGACAACAACCCCCCAGGTACCCACATCCGTACGGCCCAAAGCCTGGCACCGCATGATGTAGTGGTAGTGTCCGACCCTCTGCCGGGTGCCCCCCGATCTGGAGCCTTCCCTTTCTCTTGCAGGTTGCACCTTCACAGTCCTGGTTCACACACGGGAGGCTGCCACGCGGAACATGGAAAAGATCCAGGTGATAAAGGTGAGCGAGATCGCTGGCTGCCTGGTTGCGTGGGAGCCAGCTGCAGAGCAAAGACCGGAAATCACAGTTTTGGCATCTCTAGGAATAAGGCCGCTGGGTATTTTGAACGCGTGCGCTGGCTTCACGTGACACGCGTCGCAACTTTGAACGTGTTAGAATGGTTTACAGCAGGGAGGTGCCTGAGCAGGTCACCGCACACCAGCTGCAGACAGCAGCTGCTTCAGCGCCTCAGTCAGATGGTACCAACGCTCACAGCATCACGCCCGCTCGGTCACCTCACAGTACCGACGTACAGAACAGGTACTTGGGTTTAATCAAAAAAAAAAAAAGCAGCTCTCAACCACCCTGGGCTTGGCTGATTCCTTATAGATAAGCAAGGATGAAGTAACTGGTGGGTTTTGGGTGCACAAATACATTTTGTCTTGCAGGAAAGCGTGCAGATCGCTTTTAAAAGCAGTCATTTTTTTGTTAAGAATCCTTGCTTACATACAGGGAAGCTTTTTCCCCCGAGCCAAGTTATTTTGGGTGTCCTAAGACACGACAAATAAGGCTAGTGAAGTACAAAACGGTTTCAGAATGGAAGTCTGCTCCGTACTGCTCAGTGATGGTAACTGGTAGCGCAATAGGCCAGCGCGTGAACGGGCAAGGCAGGGCAGAAATGCGTGCCCTGACTACAGCACTGATGTAGCGAACGGAACACGCCTAGCTCAGGGCAGCCGAGAGCGTATCTTCTAAAGCAGCACGAGGTCACCTTTGGAGTAAGTGGCTAGCGTCGCAGTTGGATGCTGTAACTGAAGACGGTTGTGCCCAGTCTCGGGGCCAAGGGTGCAAACTCTGCTGTTGGGAAAGGTTTGGGTTACCGATTTCTTCCCTCAGCCACGAGGTCGCTCGTTCACGTAGTGCTGAGCAAGACCTTACAGAGTCTGCCAGCCCCTGCAAACGAAGCCCCTTGTGTTCCTGCCCTAGGATTTCCCGTGGATCCTTGCTGATGAACAGGACGTGCACATGCATGACCCCCGGCTTATTCCTCTGAAAACGATGACCTCGGATATCTTAAAGGTGAGCGGAGCACCCGGGCCCCAGAAGCAGCTGAAGCTGCGTGTAGTTGTAAGCTCTCTCCGCTCTGATGCCAGCGCAGTGTCCCGCAGGGTGACAGTGCTGCTGAGCATAGCAGATGCCTGTGCCAGTGATCACAACAGGGCAAGGCTCCTCGGAACAGAAGAGGAAATCGGGTTATGGGGGAAGGTTCACCTACCTGTGTGTGACGGAACAGATGCTTGTTTCGTTCTTCCAGATGCAGCTCTATGTAGAAGAGAGAGCCCACAAAGGCACCTGAGTGCAGCTCCTCCTTGCCTTCAGCCTCACCTGATCTTCAGTGGAGTAAGACACGTCCCAAACCACACCTTGATAACCGTCTCTTCAGCTGGCCTTCGGGGTGAATGTAGAGCAGCTGCTGCCTCTTTATTTCAAGTGCTCTTACCAGTGTATATAGAACTGACTTGGAATGTGGAGCCAGGGCCTGTTCCCATGTACACTCGTGTGTGAGAGTGAGTATAGGTCTCGTCACAGTGAATTCCTGGGGGCAGGATACGGGAAACCGCCGTGTGCAGTCCGTGCTTTGTACAAATCCGGTTCTCACCTTACTAGGGCATCTCCACTGCCACCAGCAGCGACACACAGCCATCTGTTATGTGCTCCACTAGAGCAATGGACTCGTTCTGAGGGTGAGTGAGGCCTTACGGAGTCTCTCTCCACTGTGACTGCCCCACCTAGTCTTCAATAAATATGAAGTTTTGCCCCCGCTGAACTAGGCGGAGTTCTGTCCAAACCAGCCTCCCAGTGAAGAAGTATTTTGTGTATGGGGCTCTGTATTGTATGTGGAGCTTCCACCACTCTTCCATACCTTTTCCGGAAGGTGTGGGATCTGTCACTTCCTATGAGAGGCCATATAACCTGGGTCTCTCCCCTTTCCGTGGAGAGCTTTCACCCACAAGTGGCATTGGCAAGGTGGAGTCTGTCTGTCCAGCAAGGGCACTTGCCAATTGTCCTGCTCGGAAAAGGGAAACGCTACTGATCCTACACCTATCCACGGACATGGAAAGCTCTGTGCATACAGGGCTAGAAGACGTGGTTCCCGGTATCCGAGCTGAGCTCAGCAGCCAGTTTGCTAAGGCAGCCAGTGCAGTACCTCCCCTGCTTCCTCCAAGTCAAAAGCGTGAGGATGCTATGGGTCACGGTTGTGCACTGCCTGAACATTTGTTCAGGGTTGCAAACCAAGTACTTGGGTCTTACAGAAAAAGCCTAGCACAGGCCAGAGGCACGTACTGTGCTACAGGAGCCACCTGGAGGTGTTTCTTCTCTTTAATGGTGGGCTGTATTTGGACAGGGAAGGCATTTTGCTCATACACACTGACAGAAACTGTAAGGAATCAAGTACCAGTGACACTGCATTTATGAACAAGGGTCAACAGTTTCCTTACGCTGTGAAAGGTCTGATGTGAAACGTACAGGTGTTCTGCTTACGGTCCTGAGGTAAGAGCAAACACTGCCGTCGTGCCTTCACAGCAGCGTCAGGGGCCCAATGGTGATGCTGCTGTTCGTCACCCGGATCCCATACCAGCCTGCCCAGTACTGGGTGTCTTTGCCTCCGTGCTGAAACAAGATGTAGCGAACTCCAGCTGGGTAATTCTGGAAGGTGTGAGAAATCTGGAGAGAAAGAAGAAAATTCCTCTTGATTTGCCTAAATAAACCAGCACTGACCTGGGAGCTCAGACAATGACAGTATGTGCGTCTTGGTCTCAGGAAAAGCTCATTTTAGGATAATTTTTGTTGAAAGGGCGTTGCACCCCTTTCTGAGGGACAGGAAAAGGGCCTCTCTTACTGAGCCTGCTGCCCCAAATCCTCCCCAAGTCAAACGTTGCCCTCCATTCTTAGGTACATTTGTCAGGTAAGCAACAACATAACGGGCCGTCTACAGCCCATCAAAGCCCATGTTCAGCACTTTAAAAAAAGTAATGTCTGCCATACTTTAAATTACATCCCTGCAGTAGTTCAAAACAAAGCTTTTGACCCAATAAAAAACCCCAAAACAAAAAAAACCAAACTAACTTAAAAGAACTCGTTATTTAGACAAAAACTGAAGTGAAAACCAGAAACAAACACACTGAGCTAAAATAACACAGAAGCCTGGGGGATAATCTGTAGAAAACTCTGAGCACCTACAAACTGAACCCATCCCTCTGATGGCACTGCTGCTTCTTCAGCACTGTCGGACTGCCTGGGCATTGGTACCAGCTGAGGGGCAGAGAGAGAGGATCCACTTGGGACTTCTGGCCAAGACAGACTCGGAAGATTCGAGTGTCACCGTACTGATGTAAAGCTACTGCTTACCTCTCTCCACATTGCGTCGCTCCACTGCTCTATAACCACTGGCTCAGGGTGGAACTCCTTGAGGACCATGTAGTCTTCAGAAAGCAGCTTCACGCTCAGCTGGTAGCGACACCCGCAGTCAAATCTGGCAGCGTACCTAAGAAGCACGGAGCAAGCAAGGAGCAGGGTTGTATAGTCCAGTTTTCGTTAGTGTTCAGAAACTGTCTCCTTCAAGGGGATCCCTGTCTGCAGAGGGATGGCAGTCATCCCTGTAGTGATGAAGTTCTAAAACTTCCAGCTCTCCTGCTCTTCAGAGGATTGCCACCTCCTTACAGCCCACTGGATATACTCAGATCTAGCTTACGCTTTGCTCAAGAGCTACAACTCCCAAAGGATAAAGAAGTAATTTTACAGTATGAAAGGTTTCAGAGGCCCAACTTATCTCTGGCCAATGCCAGAAGTCCTGGTTTTCAGTGCATAAGCTTACCAGTCCTTGACTACAATTTCAGGCCGTTTTTCATCCATCAACTGATTCCAGTATCCTTCTTCCCGCAGGGTGATGAGTTGAGACTTTAAGCACAGCCTGCAACAGCAATAGGAATATTCACATCTTCACAAAACACATCTCTTCCCTCTCAATGCCCACACCTTCCCTGACAGCTTTACTCTCACCAACCCAGACCTTGAAGGCCCACAAGGTTGACATGGCTGAGACTTGCCTTTTTCCGTAGGCCCAAACTAGGCGAGGAAGCGACCTGATTAGCTTCACCCCCAGATAAAAGGAATAATTACCTACAAGCTGGATTCAGAGGGGTCCCTGTGCCTGTCCGGCACGTATGGGTGAAACTACAGCTTAATGGCTGTAAAGCAGCTGATCCTCCTGTTTTATTGCACACTGTTAGCGTGAAAGACACACACTTACCGCTCTGGGTGGTGAGAAAGCTCTGACCCTGTCAAGGAAGTGCATCTGATTTGCTTGCCAAACTTTTACCTTTGCCCACCACCTTTGGTGGAAGAGAAGCTGGGATCCCATGTGGATTATCGTGACTATAGAAAAGTGACAGGGAATTCCTGGTAGGGAGAGAGAGGTTTAGTACATGCCGAGATGAACTCTCAGCAGTACACCTGTCTGGCTAACTAGTGTAAAAGGTGAGTTTAGCTCCTTCTTTCTCCCCTGCCTGAGCTAAGGTTCAGTGTCCTGCCTCACCCTTTCAACCGTCGTGCCTCTGCAGACAGGTCTCCCAGCTCCAGGTTACTGGAATCCAGTTCTTACCCATATGAAGTGACAAAGTATTTGTGTACTTCAGGGTCTGGCATGTCTCTTCCTTGAGCTCCAGGCAGATCCTCAATCTTCCATTTGTCTCCCTCATTATTATCAAGTCGCCAGTGCTCAAAGTTCTCTAAAAACAGATACCCAGGATGAGCGGTGGGACCTCACTTCAGTGTCCAGCAGTATCTCTGCTTTTGGTAAAGAACCAGCTGCAGAAGATACCAGGAACCTACTTGGAGGAGTTTTCAGATCTGCTGTATTTTTCCTACAGCAGGAAGTGACTCCTGTCTTTATGCTGCTGTTACTTTAAGCGTGGCTGTCAGCAGCTAGGACAACAGGTAACAACTGTCACTTTCAGAAACTCATTATCAGTAACAAAGTAGAACTACTGCAGTCTATCAGTCAAGTCTTTGATGACAAAAATTCCCCAGCTGCCCGAATGTTTCATCCCAATAGTTTCATTACTGCATTGTACTTGCTGGGCAGTTTCACTGTCAGCAATGCTGGGGCCTCAGTGACTCCAGAGCTTTTTCTGGTCACAGCCACAGAATTTACCAAACCTTCATCCAGCCACGCCAGTTTTACCGCATACGTTTGCTTGTGGATGTGACCCAGCAGAGATCTGTCGGTAGCTGGACAGTCCCACAGCATCAGCAGCAGATGAGCAATGCGGGGCACTGACTCATTCTGACTGTTGGAAACTCTTAGCCCTCTGCTATAAATAATGAAACCAACCTTCAGCACAGGGGTTTTTGATTAAGTTTCTCTTCAAGTTGCAGAGGACGTAGAAGATCTTCCAGTCAGAGACGCTTCTGTCCAAATCCTGAGCATAAAACCCATCGCGCTGGCACTTGCGTTTCCAGAGGGTGGTCAGATCCACCACGTACCGCCACTCACTGCAGCCCAGCCTGCAGGAGCGGAGCAGATCCCGGACGGGCAGCAGCGACAGCAGCTCCAACAGGACGTCTTCGGGGAGGTCGCAGATGGTTGTCATCACCGACCGGCGGCTTCCCTGGCGAGACGACGGAAAATCCCGGGGCACCGACAGCCCACACCTGGGGGAAGGAAGCACTGTTCCATGGTTTAGCAGC